TTAAAATGCATTTATCATGATCCAGGCATGTTATAAATGTTTTGCATATGAATATATTTGATCTACAACCACCTTACCAGGTAGACACTAGGATTAGTCTCATTGGACAAATGAAAAAAACCAAGGCACAAACAGGTTAAGTAATTTACCCACAGTTACATATCTAATAAGATGAAGAATAAAGCTTCTGTTCCAGAGCTTATTCCTTAACCACCTTGCATTGCTGGCTCTCTAAAGTCTAATTTAAGTTCTAATTATCTGTAAAGCAACACATTTAAAGGTCATTCTAAATAACAATTCCAAAATTCAGCTGGATATCAGTCAGTTTCTGGCCAAAGAGACCATCAGGACTGTAGAAGAACTCCCCTGCTCTGTGTGCACTCTTGCATTGTGAACAGAAATAGAAAATCTTACTCAAAATTCCAATATGCACAGTATCCACCAATATGTACCAATAATCACTTTTTTTTTCTCTGCCATGCTGGCAGTGAAAGAAATAGCAGGGAGTGAGAAATTGGTGGGGGAGGCAAGCAGAAGGGAAAATAACATGTGAAAATCAATCGAATCCCAAGCGGGTAGCCTTTTGTCATCCCCATGTGTTCAGCCCCTCTCTTGAGAGAACAAGGTGGCAAGTTGTCTGGGCTTGACTAGAAGTTGCAATGCATTGGGTCTCCAAACCCCCTCTTGAGAAATTATATAAAAGTCACATTCAAATGCTGGTTATTGATTTAGAACATTTCTCACCTCTGATTCACTCAATGTATTAAAATACAACTTGAAAAGCTTCACCAGAATTTTCTATAACTTAAATTCAATTACAAACATACATTCTTTGAGGTCCCGTTAGTAATTGTAGAAAATCAAGTAATCAGCATTTTCCAAAATAGATTTCTTTATAGGTATATAGTAACCATACTCTTTCCAAATATCTTCTGTTTAGGTGATTGGCTTTGCAGTCTAGGACATTACTGTTGAAAATATACTTTTTTTAATGAGATGTTTTCATTGTTAGTCAAAGAAACAAGGTATTCATTGTGTCCCTTGCCATCCCGGATGTAGTCAAATATAGGCTGTGCCTGCAAGTTGAAAATCATTTTAATTATATGTCTATATTCCTGTTGGAAAACAATCTGCTTTATTTTATACTCTTGTTTTCCTAGTCTCATTTCATGCCCTGGGCCCACAGGTAATCACAGCATTGGCTCTTAAATTTGAAAAACAAGTTTAGTGAGATTAGATTTGATTCTCCTTGGTGAAATTGTTGATTCACTGTTATATTGTATTTATAGTATTCAGAGCACATGCAGAAGGTAAAGAAGTCTAAGAACCAAAAGGTCCAAAAGCTACTTAATTTTAAAAAAAGGAAAAAGCTAAAACAGCCAGACCCATCTTAAATGATCCGAAAAACAATGAGACTGTAACAATATATGAACCGCCCCCAGCCCCCAGCCCTCAGCCTTGGATGCCATCAAGTAGTTTAAAAAAAGAAAAAAAAAAGCAGCAGCAGCAGAAGCTTTAGATCAAATGGGTAAAAGCGGAAAAGGACAAAACTTTATAGATGAAACTTTCAAACAACTCAGTAGCCCCTATTATCTCTCTCCCCAAGGGCAGAAGGGCCATTACTGCCACTGTGGGACAGTGAAATATTTTCCTCATTGCCAAATTGAACCGATCTCCTCTCTTATGGGTGATCACAGCAAGGGGAAGTACACTAAGTGAATCGGGGAAAGAGATTGCCAGCAGGGATGTCTGCAGACAAGGCACGAAAGAGCTCTTCTCTGGGTTTTACCAAGGCAATCACATTAAGGGAAGAGAAACTTTCAATCAACTAGAATGAAAAAGGTTATTATCCCAGAAGTTCTCTTTTTTCACTGGGTTACAATTAAACATCATGGGTGAAGAAGAAGGAAACTAGTATTTGAACATCACCGCAGTCTAGGCATTTTGATAGGTACTTTGTTCATGTGATCTCATTTGATGTTCTAACAAATGCTGTAACCTAGATGTCTTCTTCCCTTATTATACTGATGAGACTAAAGCAGACAAGCTGGGTAACTTATCCACCACCACTCTATTAGTAACTGATAAGATGGGATTCAAATACAAATCTGTGTGACTACAACGCATGTGCTCTTTCCACAGCATTTGGAAAACTTTCCCTCCCAACAAACAGGTTCCCTCTTTCTTGCTTCTCTTCTCAGAAATATAAGCTCATTTCCCTCTCCCTTACCAGAGGCAAGAGTTCTCCTTCAAACTGGATCATCCTTGCTCCCCCTCAAACCAAGACTCCTCTTTAATCAATGATTTTACCTTGAACATCTTCAGGAAATCCCATTTACAGAAACACAGTGGCCTGGGAACCAGCAAAGTCAGGACAAAAGGACAAAATCCTTTCAAAATGTGCTTGGTTGAAATGGAGGGGATGGACACTGCTTTTGTTTGTAATGCAAATGAACCCTGCATTTGGGTTTAGGTCTATTCTAGATCACCCCTCAAAATGATATTTGTGTACCCAAGTGTCAGGGATGGCCTAGCCTACAGACCTCCTCAGAAGGATGCTGCCCTATTAGGATCTCTGCATTTGAGGATGGGAAATGTGGAAATGGACACTGAGCAATCTTCAAGTTCTTCTTTATTTTCTAAATTTGTCTTCACACAAGACTTTACTGAACAGGTAAGGGAAAATTAAAGATGAGTGTGGGATAAAAACTTTGAAAATGCATACAAAATACGACTTTTCTAACAGTCCAGAAGCTAACCAGACACAACTCACAGCAGTTTAATTTCACCTACACAGTAGTTCCAGCATAGTTTGCACAATTCAGGATACCTACTTTGCTGCCACAAGGAGAGTTACATGAATAGTGTTTACAGTTATTTTGTCTAGGTCATAAAAAGGCATGATAAAGTATTCTCAGCACAGAACGCTTCTTCAAAAACCAGAATTTTTCTATTTCAGATTTGGTGTCTTTCTTCTAGCCTGCAACTGGACAGATTTCTTCCTAGCTTCTTTACTAGTGGAAAACAGCCAACTCATTTTTTTCAGAAGTTCAGTATCATTCAACTTTATTAAATTCTCAGGCTTCTGAGAATACTTGTGACTTCTATGTGCTGCTCAGATGTACACATTTTAAAAACTGAACATATTGTAATTTATTCTTTACTTTATAAATGATAATCAGTTAGAGTAAAAGGTAAAAGTAAAATTTTTCTGAAGTCAGTATATGAAGGATTACAGTTTTTCCCTTTGACTGGAAAGTAAGAGAATATGAACCTTAAATGATTAAGCTTAGGATGTAATGACTAATGACAAGAGATACAAAAGACAAAAGAAAAGCTCTTAGGCCAGTTAAGTTGACTGTGTCCTGAATGCAATAACAGTTCAAGAATATTTATTTAAACAATTTCCTTTGTTCTGATTTCACATTCATCAAATAAGCTTCAGATTATAATATGACATCTGATGTTCAATTATGTACAGAAAGAGAATGATCTAGTCATAGACTATATTATAGTTTTCTGATTGGTGTGACAAGTATATTTCCCATTAAAAATTAATAAATTAGCACTAAATTTTGGATATCAACTTTGTAAATATGGTTTACATGAAACTGTCACAGAGAAATGCATCCATTTCATGAGCTGACTAAAGCTTCAGAGCTTCAAGCCTAGACAAGCTCAGGGCCAGATCACTTACTGTGATAAATTCACCAAAATAAAGCCCCCTCACAGGGTTCTGTGAGGTGTCTAGAAAGCCAGCTGCTGGCTTGGCCCTGACAACACACCTCTCACAGAGTGGGTCTGTCTTCACATTTCTATTCCTTCTGTGCACCCGTGTTAACCATAGCAGCCCACTAACAACTGGCATCCTAGCCAGCTTTATGAGCAGGAATTTACCACAAACAGAACATATTCTTCACATCTAATTGGGGGGAAAATGTACTTTCGTTGTTTTTTCATCCCACTTATGTCAATTGTCAATTATCACTTTCAGCAAAAATAAAAAAAAGAAAAAAGAAAAAAAAAGAAATTAAAGAAGGGGAAGTCAATCATCATTGCCTTCCCTTGCCACCAAGAACAGCAAGCTAATACATAAATGATAACACTCTAAAATAACACTCCAGATTTACAGGCTTTTTCCAATTTACTACATACATGTTTACTTTCATCAGTTTTGGTAAGAAAATACAAGATTTTTTTTCCTGTGCAATATTCTGTCTCTTGAACATCTAAAAGCAGACAGATTTGTAAATCCATCATCAAGGTAGGATACTATAAATATATTTTATTCATATTTACCCATGATATCTAGAGAGCTGTTTGCTTTCCCGATGATTTCTGGGGAAAAGTGAGAGCTCTGCTTTACAAGACTACCACAAACAGCAGTAATGTAATTTCATGACAGCCAACATGAAGAAGCACTTCTCTTATCAGTTTCCAGGTGTATTTTGAATTAAATCAACTGATATGTATTGAGTCCATAATATGCATGCTCAGCACAGAGGAATCCCCAAGTTTGTATTCATGAAAATGTTACATTTGAAGGAGGTTTTAGGTATCTATTTGAAATTGTGTTGAGACAGAGACAAGAGGGGTCTTCATTTGTTCTCATGTTGCTACCATAAAAAGTTTTGGATTTTTCTGTGAAATATGAAATAACATCTATAAGCCTCAGTTCTAACCATATGATGGACAAAGGAGAATTAAAATTTAACTTGAACATCTTACTCACATAGGCCTTAGGTGCAGTCCTGTTGGTCATTAATAGCCTTTGAAACTGCTGATTAATCAAGGGCTGGCCACTGCATGCACAAGCATGGAATCCCGTGGAAAGAAAGTATATATGATTCTGTCTCTAGGAACAACAAGCAATGTCACCACATACAACACCTTATTCCAATTCATCAATAAAATCTTGGTAAAGAAAGAGAAAAAAAGTTACACAGTAATGATAACCATAGCAAATGTGCATGATTTATTACCTCTTGTATTAGCTCTTTTTAAATGTACTTTTGTGCTTATTGTTTTTATAACGTGATGACACATCTTCTGAGTGGATGGGAAGGCTGAGGAACCAAATTCCTCAGTGTCTTGGGGAATGTAAGTATGCATTTTCAAGATGGCTTTGGGAAAAGAATTAGAGTGATCTCTAATGAGAAGATACTATTTTGCTAGGTTTGGAGAATAGACTATGCCAAGAGTTACACTGTTCTCTTTCCACAAATGATAAAGCCCCTCTAAGAACTAAAAGATGCAATGTAGCTGACTGGAAACAATACTGAAAGTCTCCCAGACTGAATTTTGGTGGCTTCCATATATTGTGCGGGGGTTGGAGGGGTTGTTTCTTTATTTCTTTGGTGTAGCACTTTTAATCTCTCTTCATGGACCTCATCTCAACTTCTATTTATCTAGCCTTTTTCATAGTGTCTCTCAATAATTTCAGTGTAAACTGAACTAGTTTCTCTACCCTCTGCAATTTGAGATATAGTGGACACTTGTCATTAGCCATTCTACTTCTTATAGCACTCTAACGTCCTTTTAGGGAATGATTCCCTTCTTTGTGTATTACTGTAGTTGGAGAGTAATTGGGGGTGCCCGTCTATCAGGTTCCCATTTCTAAATATAGCCAGAGGGTGGGCACGTGACCTAACATCAGCCCATTGAATGTTTTCATCCTACACTATGAACAAGTGAGGCAATAACAAATGGTTGACAGTCATATACAGGGTGTCAACAAAGCAGCAGAATCCTGACAAGACTGTACTTCCTGCTTCTCTGCTCTTCAGAGATCCCTGAAATCCTCTTCATTCCCAAGCCTCATCCCCTCTTTAGCCTCCAACCAGATTGTGAGAGTCCTTGATATCTTTTGAAACACTTCAGTTTTTCCTTAGTCAGTGGACTTCTGTTGCTTGCAACCAATATCCATCATTAACGTATCATATAAATCAGTAACTGATTATATATTTTTCCATAATTTTTGTACTTCAATTTTGTCTCCATAACAGGATTTTTAGTTGCAGAGTTAATATCTATTAAATGCTAAAAAGCTTCAGATAATAGAAAACATAAACTGAAGGGGATTTTTAAAAATAGGTTCTAAAGAAAGACACTATAGCCAAAATAACTTGCCACAGGTGATTCTACTTAGCAGTGGATTCATGACTAGAGCAAGGATTACCTGCTCTACAGTTTATTACTCTTTCCATCAGAACACGCTTCCTTCTTGTTCATTAAGTGTTTTTTTTGGAAAACATTAAGACTAAACTATGAATCATATTCTCAGATAATATTCAAAGAGAATATAATATGCATTCAAACAAGGAGCCCTAAGAGCAGTTATAGAGCACTCTAACAAAACAACAGAACTGCATCCGTCATTTTAGGATGTCATCCCGTGGAGCTAATGGAACACAGGAAATAATTCCTAAGAATGTGCCAAAGAAAGTAATTTCCCAGAAGAACCCAAGGAAATATACTGCTGTAATGATGACTGCAATAACTGATATACTATTCATAAGCCTTCATTTATCATGAGCTTTACAGAGTTATTTCCATACTGAACAGAAATTTTTCTCTCGGTTTCTTCCATGAGATGGCCACAATACTTAATGTTCCAGGATTAACTAAAAGGTATCATGTTGGATTCAGAGTGACTATTTGCATAAGTGCAGCAGAGAGAAGTTTAAGGATTATGCTGAGAGGTCTGTAATTCATATTAGAGAAGAAGCCAGGAACATTGAGGCAAGCGGGCTGAGCACACTTCCCTTGCAGCCCATGTATTGTTTAACATGGTTATGGAAGAATCGTACTCTAATGAGAGACAACATGTATTGCTCCTGCCAGAGATTTCCATCTCTGGAATTCATAGCTACATCCAAGAGGAAAGGTTTACTGTTCTGGGGGTTAGATCACAAATATCAAAGAGCAGAATTTTTAGCTGCCATGCTTTCTTTATTTTCTATACATTTTCTACATGCTAGCAAATTAATAGTTTTTCTTTCTTTAGGCATGATTAATATGAATTATTTATAACACTTGAACCCATCATTCAGTCTTACAGCAAACAGATGTATCATCTAGAATTTAGATGTCAGTCATAACTACTTAAGTATGTGCACCCCCATGATGAGCAAGGATTTAATTCTCAGGAATGAAGAGTTAAGTGAGATGAAAAATGGAATAGCAAAATATGAATTTTTTATAACTATTTTGATATAGTTCTAGCATTGAGGTCATAGAGAGCAAATGTAAGATGTCTTAATAGTTTCTCATCTCTGAGACAAGAATTATTTAGAATTCTATGCTATGTGTGTCCCATTAAATAATATTAAGTTAATAAATTCAGAGTCTTCTACAAAGAGGCTAGAGTCAAGAAAATGTCTATAAAATTTCTGAGGAAAGCAAAATTGCCATCAAAATATTTTACCTTCTGTTACTTGGCTTTCTGCCCATTTTACCAGAAGCATCTTACATCACTGCCTTTCTGACTAAACTCCAGCCATATGACCTTTTTCCTCAATCTTACCTTGGGGCACTTTACACTTTTGCCCCAGAGTTTAGAATGAACGGCTCTTTCTTATCATGGAAGTTCTCACCCAAAGAGTCTTCCTAGACCACCCACCACAGCTAAAGTAACCTTCTACCCACTCCCATCCTCACAGTTACTTGCTACTCGTTACTTTATTTCTTTCCCAACATTAAAACCAAACAAAACTATCCATTTATGTGGAATTCGTTTCTTTATAGTTTGAACTCTATGGAGGAAAAAACATGAAACAGTTTTCTTTCTTTCTGATCACTACTTTCAACTTCACACTATTCAGTTTTCTTTTCTTGGCTCTTAATAACTCAGGCAGCTCTCAAAGATGCCGGGTCACTTTCAGTTATTAAAAATCAGTCTAGTTCATTTTTAAACCTCAATTTCATTCTCTTTTTCAGGGTGTTTCTTTACACTTCCTCTCCATTCCTTACAATATTGGGGCTTCTGGAATTGGGGATGAAAAAGGAAAAAAGAAAGAAAGAGAGATAGTCAAGATCTTATGTAATTGATTGCCTCTCCTGGTCACTGAAGCTTCCCTGGGTAAGACAACCTGCCTTTCATGTTCTCCTTCCAGAATGCCTCCAATTGCTGATTCTTCAGGAAACCCTGAGGTATCCTTGATATAGACGCTCCCATTCTGGCTCACATCTTCCAAACTTCCCACAGCAGCTGCCCTAGTGGCACACCACAAAGCCCTTGATGTCAAGACCATCTCACGAGGTGAGATACCAGAGGATCAGCTCAAGGCCATCTACAGTTTATAGAGTCTATTTGAACTGCAGAACTCTCATATCTTCAGTATGCAAAGGTTCAAGTACAGTGATCTCTGTTTCGTCATTTTTTCCCAATTTTTTTCCTGTCTGTTAAAATGGCATGGAGGCAGATCAGCAAGTTCATGCATAACCAGATGATCCAATAGAAAAATAAGATGCAGTCTGGCTTTCTTGCAGATATCCCCAATCTCTATGAGTGGCTCCCTTGCAGCTCCCCTTACTTGGCTTTTTAGGTTAATAAACACCACTTGATTTTGGGGGGATAGCTCCTCAACTCCACCAAGTAGAGAAGAAAATGCCAAGCACTCTCACTTTAGGCAGCTGCTTCTCTCTTTCTCTCTCCACCCCTTGCTAATCTCGTGTAGGAGAGACTGAATGGGAATGAAGAAATGGGAGCTGGCCTGATGATTCAGGAGAATCAGTTAAGCAACCACAAGCCTGGAGGGCATGTCTGTCCCCAGTTTATTGCCATTGTCTTTAGAATCCGAAGCACTCAAAACATTTTTTAACCTCGGATTTTGCTTCCAAGCCATCAATTTATAAGTAACAAGAAAGGTCTCTTTTACTTAGCATCCTATATTAAACTTTATTTTACTTATGTCTGTTTATTTTTTGTACCTCCCATGAAAGCAAAAGTTTAAAGAGAGCACAGATGCCTTAATTCACTACCAGATGTCCCCAGACTCTAGTATATGGCTTTGCACATATGAGACACTGAATAATATTTATTGATTGATGGTATAAATGAAAGAATAAGAAAGTTTAAGGAAAGATGTAGTTTGGGGGTTTTACTACTGCCCAGTGCTCAAATCAAATAAAGGGATTCTAGGTCTAGAGTAGTGACCAGACTAACTCTTCTGTAACAAGTCAGCCATCAAACTGCAACTAGAATCAGGGTCCCCCCTCCCTTTTTTTCTTTTCTTTCTTTCTCTTCACTTCTTCCTCCATTACTGCCCTCCCTCCCTCCTTTTCTCCTTCCTTCCTTCCTTCCTTAAACAAGGAACAAAAACATGTAGTACCTCATATTGATACATGGGGTAAACAGAAAAGATACATTAATTTAAGGTGAAATTTTGAAATGTTGGGAAACCAGAACAGCAAATTGACTAATTTAGAGCAGATCTTTGATATAAAACTGAGTTTCAAAAGACCTTAAGCTAAGCAAACAACAATATAGCTATAGACAAAGAACCTAGTGTCCTTCATATCTTTAATATGAAAAAAAAAATCCTTGGTCATACAGTTGCTTTTCCTCCAAAACTTTTGAGAGAGAGGATACTATTTCTTCAGTTCCTCTTACTACTTTTTTTCCTTAATCAGAGTATTTTCTGATCAAATTCACAGTGGAAAAAGAAAAGTACTGAGCAATGTCTCCCACAGTTCCCTTCCTAAATTCCCTCTCGAATATTTTCTGTAGGTCCACAAATGATTCCTGATCAAGGGCATCAAAAAAAGGTGATATATTCTAAGTCAATTCCAAAATGGAAAGCCAAAGGACTTACCCAGGAGCTGCCAGACAGACCCAACACACTGTTTTCACTTAGACTGCATAATTATGTGAGGTGGCCTTTAAAAGGAGAGTCTAATGATAACGGAGTAGATGGCAACCCTCCCCACCAACACCAGAAGACCTCTTTTCACTGTCACAGAACTTGAGTTTCTAGAACGATACTCCTTAAAATTTTCCTCACTTTTCCCTTCATTGTGCCCAACATGCTTCACGTCACTATCTTAGCCTTGTGAAGCAACCACTAAACACCAAGGCAATCGCCACATGTGCAATGAATGATCTTCGACTCCTCCTTCCCACTTACTACATCTGAGCATCTAACAGCTATGTAGTTTCCACCCCAAAAGCAGTTCCCAAATCTGCCTCACCACTTTCCCATCATTAAGCCAGTCAAACTCACTCGAGGGAAAAAATTATGCTTCTATGTAAAAGAGTGTGTATTATTTAGATTACACCCTTTCAGGTATCTGATTCTAGTCCTTCATTGTTCTCAAGTTATCTTACAACTCTGCAAGCTGCAGATAACCGATAACAATGCACAATAATTACTGTCTATAATTGTGCAAATTATGCCTGGTAGAGAGTCAATTAATTTTCCTCCCTTCCCATTTGCCCCCCTGAGGCCAGGTTTACCTCCATGTGCACAT